CAGAGAAACTCGCTAGATATAGCAAGGGGAAAACAAACAAAAAATGCTGGAGATGTGAAAAGAAAACAGGCACATTTAGACATATGTGATGGGACTGTAGAGTTGTTAAAAATTCTGGAAAGGAATATATAAAAAGATCCGAGAAGTTCTCCAAATGCAATTTGAGTTCAAGCCGGAATATTTGCTACTGGGAATGACAGACTTTAAGTTAAACAGGAATGATGACAAGAACTTCTTTTATCTCACCACTGCAGCAAGAATCTGTATAGCCCTCCAGTGGAAAAGCAAAGAAATACCAACAATTAACTCCTGGATTGAGAAGACCATGGATATAATGAACTTGGACCTATTAACCCAAAAAGTATCCCAAAAAAGAGCACTATCCGACAAGACGAATTGGAAGAAATTCATCAACTTTTTGGAAAAAGAACAAATAAAAATTACTCTAAAACGGGAATAGAAGAAAGACCTTTCGGGCAAAGATAGAGTAGGTCTTAGACTAACCTTCAACGTAATATTAAAATGCAAAAGAAAGAAGATAAATGTTCACTTGAGGTATCTGGAAGTTAGAGGGAAAATGTTATGTTAGTTGTTTTACATGCTCTGTTATCAGTAAGATGTTATGCATATGTTTGTAATCATGTGTGTATACACATATATACACATGTATGCACGTGTATATGTACATATATATTTAAGTATATATATAAGTGTGTGTGTGTGTGTGTGTGTGTGTGTGTGTGTATATAGGTATTAGGCTTGGGCGGTTTCGTTCGTTAATTTCGTAATTCGTTCTTAATTCGTATTTAAATTAGCTTACGATCCAATATTGAGCCATGCAGGAATAGTGTGAGGAGTAATTAAGATTCGAAACAATTTTTCCAATTTATTTAGTAATTATTTCGTAATTATTTCGTAATTATTTTCGCATGTCTGGTGCAAGTTTTATAGTTGTTGTTTGTTTTATCACACCAACAGTCAACAACAGAGGGAGAGGGAAGCTTCAGAAGTTCCCCCTGTCCCATTTGGAGGTTTTTTTAGCATATTGCGCAATCGTGTCCGCCATTAACGAATCGATTCGTAATTTTACGAAATTTCATAAATTTCGAAATTTTTAAAAGGAAAATTTCGGAATTCTTTAAAAAAATGAAACGCAAGGGCCCCCTAAAAACAAAACGAGTTTAGAACCAAATTTTTCTGTGGTTACCCAAGCCTAATATATACGTATATATGTTATTTTTCTTCTTTTCCTTCTCCTTCTCTGTTTGTTTGTCTGTCCATTTGTCAGGTTTGTCATGGTTGTGAGTTTTGTCGCTTTGTTATTTCTCTTTTTAAAAAAACCAATAAAAATTTAATTAAAAAAGGATGATAAAACATCAAAACACCCAGGCATTCCCTGGGCAACGTCCTTGCAGACGACCAATTCTCTCACACCAGAAGTGACTTGCAGTTTCTCAAGTCACTCCTGACATGACAAAAAAAGTCTCCTCTCCACATGATCTCACTTTCATGATTCAGAAATTTCAAAAGCAGAATATTTTATGCTCTTTTAAAATTAAGACACAGCAATCTCAAACCTTTGAGATAAAAATAGAACATGTTCCCCAAAAGAACCAAATACTCTTACCTTTTTTTTTGCCTTAAATGGAACACATCTAATGATTATTGTTGTGTGTTGAGGCCTCGGCCTGTGTAAGCCGCATCGAGTCCTCCAGGAGATGCTAGCGGGGTACCAATAAAGTTTAATAATAATAATAATAATAATAATAATAATAATAATATAATTATTATTAACTTTATTTGTACCCCGCTAGCATCTCCCGAAGGACTCGATGCGGCTTACAAAGGCCAAGGCCACAATAAAACAACAATATAACAATTACATATAAACCAAAGCAAATCAAAAACATTAAAGCAATAACAGTAAACAATAAAACAACACACCGTGATACAATAAAACTAGGCCGGGCAAATGTAATGGGTACAGATTAAAAAGTGCTGAGTGTGCTGAGTGATATATAAGGATTTTTGGATAGGTGCAATGTGCGGACAATCTTAATCTCTAATAAAGTGCTTTTGGGACGTGTTGCTGGGGTTTTCCTATTCTAGAAAGGCACACTGGAATAGCCAGGTCTTCAAGCTCTTCCTAAAGACTGCCAACGTAAGGGCTTGTCTGATGTCCTTGGGGAGGGAGTTCCAGAGTCAGGGGGCTACCACAGAGAAGGTCCTGTCCCTCGTCCCCACCAGCCGCATTTGCGACGCAGGTGGGATCGTGGGCAGGGTCTCTCCGGATGAACGAAGAGAACGTGCGGGTTCATAGACGGAGATGCGGTCACGCAGGTAGGCAGGTCCCAAACCGTTAAGGGCTTTGTAGGTGAGCACCTGCACCTTGAATTGGGACCGGAAAATGATGACCTCTGTAATGGTTCCACAAAACACAGTGGGTTTTTTTTCTTTTTTGCAGCACTTTCTTTCAAGATGTGAAATGACAGAACAGCCAAATTAATCTGTGAGATTCTTAGAAAGAGAAAGAGATTAGCCTTTGCAAAATGACCACCCACAGACAAAGCTTTGGAAATAAGCTAGTCTGTTACAGTCCATTTATTTATCTACAAACATTACCATGGGATTAGGCCATGGAATACTGACCCATTTGCCTTAATGGAAGCCACACACAGTCTACAAATTTTAAGCTTGCCTACAGCTCATCTGCTTGCTATATTAGTCTTGTTAACTATGACCTATTTTTCGTACACAGAGATTTTGCCTTCTGCCTGAACCCAAGGATCCAGCTCATGCCATCTGTGTGGTTATGAGCTCTGGAATGTCAGAAATAAATCCCCAGCCTTCAATCCATTTATTTCCAGCAATTGATTTATAGTGAGTGTGGAGAGGGAGGGAGCAAGGGGGATAGAGGGAGAGAGATGGACAGAAATAATATGTATTGTCGAAGGCTTTCATGGCTGGAATCACTAGGTTCTTGTGGGTTTTTTCGGGCTATATGGCCATGTTCTAGAGGCATTTCTCCTGACGTTTCGCCTGCATCTATGGCAAGCATCCTCAGAGGTGTGAGGTGAGTTACAAATATTTCTAAAAATTAAATGAAGAAGTCTCAAGAATCATAGATGACTATATTATATATTATATCTATCTATATATCTATATCTATACACATAATAAAAGTGAAAATCTGTATGTGTGTATGTGGCATAGGTGTCTGTTCACACAGACAGCCTTTGGCCTCCACAAATAGGCTATTGTTCCCAGTGCTGAGAAGACAGCAAGCCACTCTGTCGAAGGACATTGCAGGTTATAGCGAGCACATCCCAGTGTTCCTTTCTCTCTTCATTTGCATGACCCCACCCACTGCTTCTCCCTTATCCCTTTCCAACCCTTTCCTATGGCACACAGCAAACAGAGGCATTGATCTGCTGAGAGCCGTTCAGCAGTGGAACTCTCTGCCCTGGAGTGTGGTGGAGGCTCCTTCTCCAGAAGCTTTTAAACAGAGGCTGGATGGCTGTCAGGGGTGCTTTGAATGCAATATTCCTGCTTCTTGGCAGAATGGGGTTGGACTGGATGGCCATGAGGTCTCTTCCAACTCTTTGATTCTATGATTCTATGATTCTATGATCATACTGGAGACGTTTGGAGAGAAATCACCATGATTTATAGTTGTAGGGACTGGGATGCATAGTTCACCTGCAATCTAAGAGCACTCTGAACTGCACCAACAATAGACCTGGAACTCACTTGGCACACAGACCCACCATGGGCAATTGTCCATACTTGCAGGGTTTAGGGGTGATTACCCTGGGAGTTGTAGTTCACCCTTATCCAAAGAACAGTGAACCCAGCCAACAATGGATCTGGGCCAAACTTGCCACACAGAACCAACATGGCCAATTGTGCATACTGGCTGGGCTTGGGGGTGATTGCCCTGGGGATCTGGGAGTTGTAGTTCACGGGGGGGGGGCTGAATTTTTTGGGGGGTCCGGGGGGCTGAGTCTGAGTGAAAGAGGGCCTAGCCTAGCAAACCTTTTGTATCATTACCCCAATACCCCCATGCATATGGGATATATTGAGTATGGTGATCAGATCATGATATGAATAAACATAACAGTTTAAATAATGCACCAGTAAGGCCTTTTCGCGAACCACCATGAATATTTCGGGGGGGGGGGCTGAACCCCCGAGCCCCCCCCCCCCCCCGGCTACATGCCTGGCCCTGTGGATCTGGGAGTTGTAGTTCACCCTTATCTAGATATCACTGAACCCAGCTGCTGTCAGATCTGGACTAAACTTGACACACAGACCCAACATGGCCAACTTTAAGTAATGGCAGGGTTTGGGAAGGACTGACCCACAATTCTGGAAATTGTAGTTCACCCACAACCTTATGTATTTTCTAATGGGACCATTCATTTTTTTAAAAACCCCAAAAAGTAAGACTGTTTTCCCCTAAGAAATAGCATTACACATTACCAAACTGATATTACCAAATTTCACAAAACAAACAATGCCTTTCTCAAATAACCCGGGCAGCGCCGGGTCCCCTAGCTAGTTAGTAATGAAAAAGAACATACGGCTTTTCAGAGTTTCACTTTCTCTGCACAGGCAGTCGATTGGCAATCAATAAAAAGGATGGAAGAAACAATGCCAGCTAGCAGAAGTGTAGAGTGAGGAGGGAGCGAAACACACGCTTTAAAATGTCACATATGAGCATAGTTCTAATAGTATTTGCACTGGAAATGCAAAATTCACCAGGGTAAATGGGTGGTGTGAATAAAAATGTAATACACTGCTCTTCCCTCTCCAAAGTAATCGCGTGAAACCAGAGGAAAATGCATTTTTCTCTTGACATTTTCACAATCTTGGTGACCTCAAATTATGCATCAACCCCAACCTCTCTGCAGTCTTTCACAACCAAGAAGCCATAGACTGACGAGCAGCCTTTTCAAGGAGAAAACAAGGACACGCCATTCACGAAGAACCCTTCTTACCTCCGCAATTGTCCCCATCGACTTGTGCACTGGTTGGGATGGAGGAAGTGATGGGATCCTTCAAAGCCGGCAGCTGAGAGCTTTCTTCCTGGTTTGGCAAAAAGGCAGAGCAAATGTCAGTTTCAAGAGCCTGCAGCTTCAGCAAAGATTTCTGCAGGCAAAAACAGAACATTGGGCTCCAGAGGGAGGGAGAAAACGGCAACGATCCAATTGTCACTTCCTCGATCCTCGCCTGCAGGAAAGCACTTTTTTTGCTCACTCAGCAAAGGACAACTGCACAGACGTACTTTCATTACACCTCCATTTATCTGCACTGATCAGGGTTACTTATGGCACAAAGGAAAACTAATTTCATCAGCAAAAAAAGATTTGTTCAAGAAAGCCAGGCTGAGAAGCTGACAGTTTTACTCTCAGTCTAGGGAAAAATCTGATGGAAGAATTTCATTGGTTCCTTGTGATGATGGCTGGATCTACTGACATGAGGCCCCTCCCAAACCACCATTCATATAAGGTGGGAGAGACCAAATCTCCTCTCTTTAGCATGCCGCACAAGAAATTGATGGAAGCAAAGGGTTAAATATATAGTTTCTTTCCATTTTAAAACATAGGTTTATTTAAATGATCAAGGGTCTGGAGAACAAGCCCTATGAGGAGCGGCTTGAGGAGCTGGGCATGTTTAGCCTGAAGAAGAGAAGGCTGAGAGGAGATATCCTAGGGACCACCTCATTCCTTTTCCCCATCAGTGGTCACCTCGATCCACCCAGGAAAATCTCCTATACATACCGGGTCCTAGGGAGGCACATTTGGAAGCTACAAGGCGTACAGCTTTTTTGACCTATGCTCCAATTCTGTGGAACTCATTGCCTCCATATATTAGAGCAATGTCAGAGTTGCGACCTTTTGTAAAGGCGCTCAAGACTTGGCTGTTTGGTTGTGCATTTAAGTAATTGGATCAAATTTTGCCATAGTCACTGCTGAATATTTTTATGTTGAATGTTTTTATGTTGAATGTCTTTATATTGAATGTTTTATATTGCGTATAAGCTATTTTAAATTGTAAGTCGCTCGAAGAACTTTGGTGGAGAGCGACTACTTAAGAAATAAAGTGATGATGATGATATGATAGCCATGTATAAATATGTGAAAGGAAGCCACAGGGAGGAGGGAGCAAGCTTGTTTTCTGCTTCCTGGAGACTAGGACGCGGAACAATGGCTTCAAACTTCAAGAGAGGAGATTCCATCTGAACATGAGGAAGAACTTCCTGACTGTGAGAGCCGTTCAGCAGTGGAACTCTCTGCCCAGTGTGGTGGAGGCTCCTTCTTTGGAAGCTTTTAAACAGAGGCTGGATGGCCATCTGTCAGGGGTGCTTTGAATGCAATATTCCTGCTTCTTGGCAGGGGGTTGGACTGGATGGCCCATGAGGTCTCTTCCAACTCTATGATTCTATGATTTATTTATTTATTTATTTATTTATTTATTTACTGTATTTGTATACCGCCTTTCTCAGCCAATCGGCGACTCAAGGCGGTTTCCAACAAAACAGTATACATAGTATCAAATACAATATAACCATATAAGCATTAAAATTACATAACACAACAACAATAAACAACATCATTGGCGTCTCCTTACTGTCAAGCATTGTCCAATTCCATCGTCAGTCGTCCATTTCCTATGTCAATTACCTGTATCCGCTACTCTGTGTTTGTGAACGCTTGCTCAAACAGCCATGTTTTGACTTGTTTCCAAAACGTTAAGAGGGAAGGGGCAGATCTAATCTCTCTAGGGAGAGCGTTCCATAGCCAGGGGGCCACCACTGAGAAGGCCCTGTCTCTTGTCCCCGCCAAATGTACTTGTGACAAAGGCGGGGCCGAAAGCAGGGCCCCCTCGGACGAGCTCAAGGTCCTAGATGGTTCATAAGAGGAGATACGTTCGGACAGGTAAGTTGGGCCAGAACCTGTTTAGGGCTTTATAGGCTAGCCAGCACTTTGAATTGTGCCCGGTAGCAAACTGGCAGCCAGTGGAGCTGGCACAACAGGGGGTTGTATGCTCCCTGAGAGCCACTCCTATTAGCAACCTGGCTGCCGCCCGTTGGACCATTTGAAGCTTCCGAACAGTCTTCAAAGGCAACCCCACGTAGAGAGCGTTGCAGTAGTCTATACGGGATGTAACCAGAGCGTGGACTACCGTGGCCAAGTCAGACTTCCCAAGGTACGGGCGCAGCTGGCGCACAAGTTTTAATTGTGCGAATGCTCCCCTGGTCACCACCGAAACCTGGGGTTCCAGGCTCAGCGATGAGTCCAGGATCACACCCAGACTGCGAACCTGTGTCTTCAGGGGGAGTGTAACCCCGTCCAACACAGGCTGTAACCCTATGCCCTGTTCGGCCTTATGACTGACCAGGAGTACCTCTGTCTTGTCTGGATTCAGTTTCAATTTGTTAGCCCTCATCCAGACCTTTTTGGTTTGGCTTTGGATAAGGATAAATTTCATTTTGCGTGGCTGCTGCAGGTTCAGCCAGGCAATGCCCACTTTTCATTTCCCACCAAAACAATATTAAAAGATCTTTGTCACCCTCTGCAAAAAAAAAAAAAAAATGTGTATAAGGCTGTTTATCTCTTAGCAGCCCCTCTAGCTACTGTTTCATGCTTGATCCATTTCTCATTTCAGTCCTGAATACCCAATGCAATATTCTAGCTCCACAATCTGACACAAGCATCTGGCCATGATGCAAATGTTCCCAACAATCTGAATCATTCACCAGCCAAACCAAGTGGGAGGCGTAGCAATGTTGGGGAGGAGGAATGGGTCCATGTGCATGCCCTGTATGTTTAATTTCCCAGTTTCTCAAAATAAAGAAAGAGCACCTCCTCTCATATGAGCCTGCCCCAGCTTTGAGAACATCATTGGAGGCTGTTTATATGCACTCCACAAGCAAAATTGCAACAGCCTAATAAAATTAGCAAAGTACAGAGAGAAAATAAGATGCAGCCCTCATTTACCCAGCCCCTGGGCTAAACTTTAGACTTAGGATCCCTCTAAATATGAAATGACTTGAAGGCACACAACAACAATCCTAATTATCTTGACTATCTCATCAGCAAAAAAGCAGGCCCACATTTCCCATTGAAATACTGGTAGGTTTATGTTGGTCAAAATTGTTCTTCATTTTAAATACTATATTTGTTCTTTCAATTTTTTTTTGCGAAGGTGGTGGGACCGAGAGCAGGGCCCCTCCGGAAGATCTTAACGTCCTTGATGGTTCATAGGGGAGAATACGTTCGGACAGGTAAACTGGCCGGAATCATATAGGGATTTATAGGTTAAAATCAGCACTTTGAATTGTGCTCGGAAGCTAATTGGCAACCAGTGGAGCTGGTGCAGCAAGGGAGTTGTGCGCTCCCTGTACCCAGCTCCTGTCAGCAGCCTGGCTGCCGAGCGCTGGACTAATTGCAGCTTCCGGGCAGTCTTCAGAGGCAATCTCACATAGAGAGCATTGCAGTAATCTATAAGGGATGTAACCAGAGTGTGGACCAGCATGGCCAAGTCAGACTTCCCAAGGTATGGGTGAAGCTGCTGCACAAGCTTTAACTGTGCAAAAGCTCTCCCGGCCACCGCTGAGACCTGGGGTTCCAGGCTCAGCGATGAGTCCAGGATCACTCCCAAGCTGCGAATCTGTACCTTCAGGGGGATTGTAACCCCGTCAAGAACAGGCTGTAACCCTATGCCCTGTTCGGCCTTACGACTGACCAGGAGGACCTCTGTCTTGTCTGGATTTAGTTTCAATTTGTTCGCCCTCATCCAGTCTGTTACAGCGGCCAAGCACCGGTTTAGGACTTGAACAGCCTCCTTAGTAGCAGGAGTCAGAATTCACATATTTATATGACACAGAATATTTGCTTTGAATGATTATTTATTTTAGCTTTCAATGTCTTCATTTTGTGTTTTGCAAAAATTTCAATACATTTCCCCCCTAAAAATACTTCTTTCTAACTTGTGAGAGTGAAAGTACAAAACTGGCTGAAAATATGATGGAAAATATCTGCTTCTATTTATTTGCAAGAAGACCCAGCATTAACGGTGTTGTGGGGTAATTTTCTAATACAATAACCAAATAGTGCCTGCTAAGGGACATGTTCCCCAGTGAAGGACCATTCCTTGGGCCAATCTTCTCTAGTCAACCAAAGCTTTCCCCTTGACTGCTGCAATCTTCTTGCAAGCGAACTTGTCACACATGGTGCACCCTCTGCTGGTTTCCCTACTTGTAGCCCTGCTGCAGAAGTAATAAAAGCAAGTTGTGACTGAGAGCACTTCCACATAGCCCTATATCCTAGAATATCAAGGCAGGAAATCCTACGTTATCTGAATGTGGACTCAAATAACCCATTTCAGTTAAAACTTGTGCGCCAGCTGCGCCCGTACCTTGGGAAGTCTGACTTGGCCACGGTAGTCCATCCTCTGGTTACATCCCGTATAGACTACTGCAACATTCTCTACGTGGGGTTGCCTTTGAAGACTGCTCGGAAGCTTCAAATGGTCCAGCATTCAGCAGCCAGGTTGCTATCAGGAGCGACACTCAGGGAGCATACTACTCCTCTGTTGCGCCAGCTCCACTGGCTGCCAGTTTGCTACCGGGCACAATTCAAAGTGCTGGCATTAGCCTATAAAGCCCTAAATGGTTCTGGCCCTACTTACCTCTCCGAACGCATCTCCTCCTATTAACCGACTAGGACACTAAGATCATCTGGGGAGGCCCTGCTCTCTGTCCTGCCTGCATCACAGGTGCGCTTGATGGGGACGAGAGACAGGGCCTTCTTGGTGGTGGCCCCTCGGCTGTGGAACGCCCTGCCTGCAGATATCAGATCGGCCCCCTCCCTGCTGGCGTTTTGGAGGTAAGTGAAGACCTGGCTGTTTGAACAAGCATTTGATGAAACAGTGTAATTGAACATAGGAATACGGAATAATGGATGATGAGACTGGACTCTGATTTTACTGTTGAGGCGCTAATGATTGTTATTCTGATGTTTAATGATTTATGTTACAATTGTTTTTAATTGCCCTATACTTGTCTTGTGATGCTTTGTATT